AAGTATATTATTATGTAGCAAATTTAGTATCAGCTACTAGTCTATACAAACAATCCAGGCTCAAGTTTACAAAGCATTGCTACTTCAAACCTATGTAGGGGTATGATCCATGTTGGCCAACAAAAGTTTAACTTGGGTTTTTGACATAATTTATATCATACTGGCCGACGAAAGAATATTCCCAACTTCCAACATAGAGTTTCCCACGATTTTCTAGAACAGTTGTAATGCGTTGATTGTACTCTTTACTGAGATCAGCTGATTTTGACGCCTTGAGATGCAGTGGTGGTGGAGTCATTACGAGGAATATTCACTGCAACCAAGAACTTTCCTTCTTGATTTCTTTTGATCTTGTTTGGGCCTCCAGGAAATGTCAAGAAAATTTCAGAAGTGCCAGCTTTTTCTCGTTTAAGCCAATACCTTCGAATTCTCTTCTAAAGGTACTCCGAAACGAGGAGGAATTGGGCATCACTGCTGGTTGCCACTCCTAAAGGTCCAGAAAGTTGTGTGAGCAGTACGGTTACTTTTTTGGTTTTCCGATCAAATTTTAACAATCGCCCCGTAGAATCACCACTTAGGATCAGGGTTCAAAGTCGTAGTCGCAGTTGCGGTCCACATCGGTTTTGACATATCGGTCGCGGTCTCGATGAGACGCAAATTTTTGAAATATTTAATATTCTAAAAATTATAAAAATATGATAAATAAAAATAATTAAAAATAATAAAAATTCGAGTTGATTAGGAATGATTTGATATGACTCGATCTTTTCAACCCTTCACGGTGACGTCTTGACGAGTCAAGTATTTCGAAATCGTATCGTCCCGATATCAGATTGGGAGGGCTCGAGACGATGACGACTCGGGACGAGCCTTTGAACCATGCTAAGGATAGATTTTACTGCATCTCTGAATAATGAAGGTAAAGTGTATCATAATGGAAGTTTAACGAAATCATTTGAGCCCGTACAAGTCATTTGACGGCTGGGATTGTAATCACAGTATATGCCATTGTCTTTCTCAATGTTTTGAAAAATAGTATATATGAGCTAAAAAAGAAAATGTGGTATCTTACCAATGTATTCAAATCAAATGTTTTGTTACAAGTCGAAAAAGGTTTGAGATAATGGCCAACTGTTTGCATCATTGCTTCTCAGTCTCAGCACCTCATTTATAATTAATCCTAAGAAATAAAGCATTATGTCATCGAGTCAGGAGGGGCTTAGATTTTCTTAGGTTTTTAACTACATAAAATTGATTTAACTGTTGAAGTATCTTTGAGTTGGATTTGATTTCACCAAATGCAACCCCCGCATAAAGACAACCGTGGCATATACAAGAATCATGATGAACTTACTTTGGACCATATTTCGTACCAGCATCTGTAAAATAGACAGATCCATCCTTAGCCTCGTCGACTGCAATAAGAAATCGGTAAGTTACTCCATCTTCAGCTGGGACAAGAGTAGTAGCAAGCCCTCCATGGAATCCTACACGAGCAATGCCAACGAACGGATCACAAAGGTGCTTTATTCACAATAAAGGAAGTATTTCGGGATGAATGGAATTGAATGGCGATATTGCCCTCTTCCGTTTCAGCTAGTCTCTTCTCAAAGGTGCTTTATTCACAGAGCATAGCATATATAAGCAGCTGGGTTAGGCGAGAAGGTCAGGGATTTACTTTTAAGGTGCTCTTGATGTGAGTTTGAATTTCGATGCTAGGCTGTCAGCAGGTAAGTTAATAATTGTAATTCACAGGGTGGGTGGTAAGTTTAAAGGATTGAAAGTGGGTACATCCCTTGTTTTCGTATCTGGTGCTTGAAAAAACAAAAAACCTTTTACCAAAAGTAGAACGATAACAAAAAACATAAAGCTTCCTAGCTCCCAAATCCGAAATTGTAGGAAATCACATAATTGAGCATTTGATAGATAGGAAGTTGATTTCTTTTCAGTTTTGGTTCTTTGCTATCACGAAACATTATCCTACAAGCCAAGTACAAAATTGGTAGATGAAAATAAATTTAATAGTTTTTGTTATCAATATGTCGAGTGGTCAAGTGATGAAGATCCAGTAAACATGCAAACCTGCCTAGAATGTGCACCAGTTTGAGTAGTCACAAAAGGATTTGAAGTGTATAGATGTCTTTCTCCATACCATGAGAATTGTGAGGATGAATTCAGACGTATGGATTAGGAATCCGAAGAAATTAGACCAACATCACAGCAATTAACCTATCTATTTATATAATTATCCCTTTCCGTCAACCAATCATCTCAATTGGAAAAGGGAAGAAAAAAAACCTACAAGGACAATTTAGTCACGTATCTAACCGATGAAGTTCAATCCCTTATGAAGCTAGATCACTTCTTTTATCATTTACGTTCTTGATAGTTGCTAAATATTCCCACAATCCAAAAATGTATGGTACAAGCCAAAAATCTTACTCTTAGTCTTGTTTGGAAATCCTTGAAATTTTTAGAGAATTTCAGAACTGCGGGCTAGCTATTTCTCGTTTCAGCTAACACTTTTAAATTTTATGTACAGTTTGTGTCTCTTTCGAAGCTAAAGCAAGTGTAATATATCAATTGCACAAAGGTAACTGAAGATAGCTTAATCAATTGCCTTTCACTAACACGAGCTGTATCTTCGAAAGATCAACATAAAAGTACATTATTCAGCAGCAAAAGGTAATTTGCTGCTGAGTCTAGACAACCCGATTAGACTTACTTTGAACAGACAACCGTTCTTCAACCACAGCAATTTGATTTTAGGTGCATTTGATATCGTACTGACCCACAAAAGGATAATTCTTTCCTCCAACATAAAATTTGTTATTATATTCCATAGCAATTGAGATACGTTGATTGCATTCTTTGCTGAGATCAACCATGGCTAGAATTTCTCCTGAAGGACTGAATTTCACAGCTTGAGGTGCAACGGTGGAGTCATTCTCGGGAACATTCACTGCAACCCAGTAATTTTCTTCTTGGTTCCTCTTGATCTTGTTCGGGCCTCCTGGAAATGTCAAGAAAATTTCCCAAGTGCCGGCTTTTTCTCCTCCTTTGAGCCAATACCTTAGCATTCTCTTCCTGATGAACTCCGAAACGAGGAGGTATGAGGCTTCAGATTTGATTTTTTTATCCTCCCTCCCCAAATACCGACACGTGGCCAATTGGGGGGGGGGGGAAGAAGCTCTAGGTTTTTCTATATATGTAAAATATGTCAAGTGTTCTTAAATGTCAGTGAGGATAACTTCGACATCTGTCGAGAGTGTCGACTAGTGACAAAAGTCAAGAATTGAATATCTAAAATAGAAAATTAGTACTCGCTAAGGGTAATGTTGATATTTTCTGATAGTAAGTATTTATGTAGTGAATGGTAAATTTTTGCATAAACAATTTAGCATTATAGAAGTAGAATTAGCCAATGTTAAAGTCACAAATATTTTAATGAGCATGTAAGCCTGCCTATAAACGGATACTATTTGAATGGCCACAGCCTTCTTGAGGCATGTAATGTAAGCCTCAGAAGAAGAGACTGAGGAATTCAAACGCATGGATTAGGGAATGTGAAGAAAATAGACCAAGATCCAAGCAGCCAACCTATCTAACTGCATAATTTTCCCTTTCAACCCAAAATCGTTTCTGGAAAAGGGAAAAGATAAATCTATATATATATATATATATATATATATATATATATATTTACGGGGCGTTTGGTAGATGAGTTTCAAGACGAGGAATGAGCCTCAATTTTAACTATATTCACACATAATCTGTATTTAAGGTGAATCGAAATCAATTACTAATAGGTTTCATAGACCCTTTCTATGAGTTTTATGATTAACTATTAAAATGTAGATTTTCACTTATTCACTATTTTTTATTACTAAAACTCACTATTGTAAAATTATCGAACACTCTATGAATTTTTATTAAATCCATTATTATTTTCTAATATATCATACCCATAACAATAGTAATTGTGAAATTTGAATCAAATGGCTTATTAGTTAGCAGACGAAACTGAAGAATTGTAATCAATCCCTTATGAAGCTAGGGAGCTTTATAATTCGAGTTGTTACTCTTCAATGCCAGGACATGCACACGCATGAGTGCGACGTACTAGATAATGCCCCAAAATTCCTTGTAATTTTCTTCTTTTTTATTTGACTATTGTAAATTGAACATTCTTTTATAACAATATTGCTTTTCATCCAAATTTAAAAAAATTATATATCAACTTTCCAAGATATGAAAATGGACTTCTTAGGTATCCAATTCAAAGTCCACAAGCATCCCCAAGTTTTCCTCATCTCCTCGAATTTTTTTCTCGGCTCTTTTCTCCCCAACAGCGGCTATGACTTCTTTTTTTTTTTTCTAGTTTTTGTTTAGAACTTCTGTCAAACTCCTCATGCACAAGCACAGAGTACAAAAGTACGCAGCAAATATATGTTCAAGAGTGGATTTTGCTACTTTCGGAATGGCAAGTGCAAAAGCAATTGGTTACTGTACGTTTAGAGGTTGATGAATGATGAGTCTAAATTCATAGCACGAATTGAATTTAAAAGTTAACTTCTTCTGCTTGTATTGCGAAAACCCTTGAAGTAACATCTGTTGTATTCTCTTCCAGTCATCATATCTAAAATGGTTGTACCACTTAAACCCACCAAGTGTGTTTTATCCTTAATTCTCATTCCCGTATACTCCTTCAGGTCTGTATATTTTTTCTCGACTGTAATCGTCCAATACCATTTTGTATATTTTTTCTGCTCAACATTATTACTTGTAAAATTGTGGACAGGGAATTGCGAAAGCTAAACCAACCGTTGTTAATATAAAAGTGGTTCATTTAGGTGTGATATTGCATATACAAATGCATGAAAAGTTTTATTCCCAGCAAATGCTAGCGTTCACAGCTGATTCTTATTAATAGCGATGCAGATTCATCAATCTGCAGGGCATTCCAATGACATACTGGGTGGCAAATTCAGTCCGTAGTCTCAATGGTAGAGGTATTCCAATTCATACTGGCCAATATATGGGATGAAGAGACCGCTAAGAAAAAATTTTCCACGTTGTTCCACAACAGCAGTAATATTTTGATAGTATTCCTTGCTGAAATCCACTGTATCTAGAATTTGCCCTGATGGGCTGAATTTCACACCCTTAGGGGCATTGGTATAGTCCGGCCTTGGATAGTTTAGCGGAACCCAATAATTGCCCTCCCAATTCCTCTTAATCTTGTTTGGATTTCCTGTAAAAGTCAAGAAAATTTCTGAAGTGCCAGCTTTTTCTCCTTTGAGCCAATACTTTGTAATTCTCTTAGCAATGAACTCTGAGACTAGGACATAGGAGGCAGCAGCATCAGTAGCCACCCCTGCAGCTCCCCCGAGATTTGAGAGCAGTGTGGTCACTTTTTTGGTTTTTGGATTGTATTCTAACAGTCTTCCTGTGGAGTCCCCAGTTCGGATGGCCTTGTCTACCTCCCTGAGAGAAGAGAAAAAACCTCCAAAATGATTGACGGATTAATCAAACTAAAATAAATCAGTTAGTTAAAATTGCTCCAAAAACTGCAATTCATGATGTATCATCATAACAGTTTGCAGCCTTCCAAGTTTTGAAGAACCCAAAAGATCATGAATTCAATAAAGAAAACTTACGTAAAACCGAATACTCCACTGGCATCTGTAAAATAGACATTTTGATTAGGGAAAATCGTCCAAAACGTCCCTCACATTTTGTAAAATAACTTTTTTCGTCCCTCACTTTTAAAAGTGTAATTTTATATCCCTTACATATTCACATCGGACAAATTTAGTCCCTAACTAGGTTTTCGATCATTTTTGGGACCTCGGAAGGAATGGACTGCTTCTACTGCATTTCTTTCTATATCAAAAGTACATTCAAAAGAATCAGATGATTCATGGTCTCTTGAAAATCAAATTATTTTCTTTAAGAGAGTCAGAAACAAAGATGCATGTGATACGAAAGTAAAAAGAAAGGAATTGCCACATAAAGGAAGGAAGGGGGGTAACTTGAATTTCGCCTTTAAAAAAAAAAAAAAAAAGCCTGGTACCATTTCTTCTTTAAAAATTGTTTCTAAATGGAAAGTGCATGCAATTTGAATTTTTCTAAACCAATATGACAGACTGATAAATGGTGGATATATAGCTAAGCAACTCGAATTCAAAGGTGCAAAAATAATATATATCCCCAATCACTCGATAGTCGATACTGAAACCATAACGACCGCCGTGAAAGCGGGTGATGGGATGAGCAAATTAATAAGCTAATGATTTAAAAAATCTTATTGGGACCATTATTTTCTTCCCATACACAACGTAGATAGGGTGGCGGTTCCCTTCTTTAGCTGGAAGCGGGATGGGCCGTGGCGTTTGCCTCCGCGGATTCAGCCTGTAAATACCAGTATGGCAATTCATTAGGCATGCCATCCGAGATGATATAACCAAAAGCTTTTAAAAAATTTGATCTAGCAGAACAACCACAATGATTTCCGAAGTGCCAGCCTTTTCTCCTTTGAGCCAATACCTTTTAATTCTCTTAGCAATGAACTCCGAGACTAGGACATAGGAGGCACCAGCAGCAGTAGCTACCCCTAACGCTCCGCCAAGATTTGCGAGCAGTGTTGTCACTTTCTTGGTTTTTGGATTGTATTCTAACAGCCTTCCTGTAGAGTCCCCAGTCCGGATGGCCTCGGCTCCTGTCCTGAATTATATATTATATATAAAAAAAAAAAAAAAAGCTTCAAAATGATTGAAGGATGTATCTGTAACAAATGAGCTGGATTATTGCACACTGCAATTCATGCTGTACATAAGTTTAATTTGAAGAACCTAAAAGAAGATGAATTCAAGAAAGAAAACAGTTACGTAAAATTGAATACACCACTGGCATCCGCAAAATAGAGATTTTGATTTTCTAGCAGCATCCATGCCAAGAAGGAAAAGGAAAGGCACTCCGTTTTTAGTAGGAACAAGAGAGCTTTTGCAAGCCCTCCAAAAGGTCCTACAACTGTGACACCTGTGGTTATATCACAGCTGAATAGCCTCCCAGTATAGTCAAAACTCGACCCTGTAGGGAAACCGCAGATGGGAGTCTTGTTGACGCTGGTTGAGCCATCACAAAATGCGCGCGTTGGTCCTGAAGGAAAAAGTATGCAAGTGTACTTAGTTTGGAAGCCAACAGGGATTATTTTAATTCCCCCCTGAAATATGATCAGATTCTTGTGATTTTGGTTTGGCATAATCATATTATTAGCTGCTAAAAATTACCTTGTTGGTGTAGCAGTGGCGAAGTCCATAAAAGAGTTGGTGAGTTTTTGGTACTTGAGAATTCTGCCATCTAATGTGCCAGCATAAGGACCATCACCTAGTAAGTTGAAAGAGATTGGATAAGACATTGGGTGGAAATGGGAGTTTTGTAAATCCTGTAACGGGATTAATAGTCAGTCCCAAGGGAAAAAGATCAAAGAAGGAAAAGTAGACAATAGTAAGATGGTGAACAAGGCCATCGTATTCGTACCGATACTTAATTTCTACTTATTTCTGAATTGAGCCGAGGCAGTTCCAAGAAGTATTTATAGGGGAAAAATCGTATAAACAACTTGAGGGTCTTCTTACCAAAATATTTACATTTTACACAATATTAGACTACCGTTTTAAAGTCAAGGCCTATAGTAAATGGGAGCAATATATTATACTTCTAAAACGACATTACTTATTATTATGCGAAGAGCAAGTTTTATTATAATTGTGTATTAATTTTGAATGTTTTGGTTTAAACTTTTTAAGTTACTTCTTCTTCAAGTAGTATTCAATTTTATGTTTAAAAAACTCTAAAATAATTAATTGTGCCATAGGAAAGATGTATAAAAGAAGTTGTTTGCCTAGGGAGTTTTTCAAAAATATTGGGGGCAATTTCAAGGGTTAATATTGTTTCTTGAAATCAAGTGGGTGCAATTATGAGAAAAACTTTACATTTTATAGAACTTTCATATATGCCTACTCGATCTTTCACATTTGGAAAATTGAGGGTTGGCAATTCCAGAGGTGGCTGGCTCAGCCACAGTAGAAAATAACAAGAACATGTACCAGGCGGCCTTATCTGTTTCACAAACTTAACTAATCATCACCCATGCATCACGTACCCAATCCATGCTTCTCCATACTTCTTTATGGCTTTTTCCGATGTGAATTTGCTACAACTTTGCATCATCTTACAAAATATGCCCACACGTGGTGAGATGGTGCATAGATGCAAGGGTTCATGACAGAAGTTCTCCTTCAATTTTAAAATTTTCAAACCTAACTAGAAGAGTATTTCCTTTTATCTCATTTAGATGGGAGATTAATTGCTCAAAGGTCCTGAAAAAATTGCTAGACTTCACTATACCACTAAGAGTGCATTTGATAAAATTGAAGTCGAAAACTTAAAGTCTGAAATCTGAATCCATTAAATTATTGAATTATTAAATATTAAATCTAATATATTTGAGTGCATATTACATTCAATGATAAGTGAATAGTTTATAAATTAATTTTTGGAGCAAATTTTGTCTAAAAAATTCAGTGACACTTAATTAATTCGAATGTTTAATTTTTGATTATCAAATGGTTTAAATATATTAAGATCTAAATCTATTAAATTTGAGTACTGAATTACGTTATCAAATAGGACCTAAGTTTGGTTAAGCGTTATTGACCAAAAGTGAATTAAAGGAAGGGATTATTTGGAACGGATTTTCTAATTAAGAAGGTTTAATTAGAACTTGTTCACTTTTAAGAGGCGAGTGAGTACCGTAATAGATGGGTTCACATCTATTTCTAAGTAAGCCCACCAGACATACGAAATAAGAGTATGGGGAATAAACTAAGTATGTCTTATGTAATGAAATGCCTGTAAATAAAAACATATAATGTCTCGCAAAGCTATATGCTTGCGTTTTAATACTACAATCTTTTCCACATTTAGGCCTTGTCTGGGATTGCAGTGCTTTTGATAAAAAAGCACTTTTAGATGTTAAAAGTACTTTAAACATGTTCGGTGAACATCTTCTAATCGAATTAGGAGTGAAAGTTTTGGTGTTAAAAGTACTTTTAACAAAAGCTCAAATTTGGTACTTTTAGAGGAATTTTTGTGATTTAAAATAAAAATATTAAATTTAATCATTTTATCCTATATTACAAACTAAAGGATTAAAAACAAAAAAGCTTCCTGTGATATACTTAATATACAGAAAAGCCCCCTGTGGTTTCAAAACATACAAAACAACACCTTATGTTTTAAACTAAATTGTAAACTAACAGAATTCGTTAAATTTAATGGAATCTGATAAACTTTACGGAAAATTTAACGGAATCCGATAAACTTAACGGTAAACTTAACGGAATCCGGTAAGTTTAACAGCTGAGACCGTCATTTTCGTTAAATTTAACGAATTTTGTTTATTTACAATTTAGTTCAAAACATGAGGTGTCGTTTTGTATGTTTTGAAATCACGGGGGGCTTTTATGTATATTAGATATATCACAGGGGACTTTTTTATTTTTTACCCTAAACTAAATAAAGAGATAAATATATTCAATAAAATAGGTACTTATTGAATTATATCTCCAAACAGCATATTTAAAAGTACATAAACTTAATAAGTACTTTTACTAAAAGTTTTATTAGGAAAGTACTTTTTAATAAGTTACCACATCCCCAGACGGGCCTTAATAGCTTTCGGCACTGCATCCTTATCTCTACAAATTCAGTTCAATTACGGCATCCAGTCTGTGTAAGCAGATAGCTGCTAGCCATGTTTCAAAATAAGGTCTTTTTGTAGATGCCAACAAAGTTTTCACCTCGAGAACCAACCAGTAAGGTTGTTCCAAAGTATTCTTGGACCACGCTCACCGGAACATTGTAATAATGATCTTCAAAATCCTTCACAAACAGTAAATTTCCAAATGAGTCAATTTTGTAACCATAAGGTGTGGTAAAGCGTGGCTGCTGAACATTGATGTCCACAGCCACCCAGAATTCCCCCACGTTTGAGGCCCTCTTGACTTTACTAGGATTTCCTGGCAAGTCTCGTAGAACTTCAGATGTGTTTGCTTTTGGTCCCAATAGCCAATACTTCACGACCCTTTTGGCACTGTACTCAGAGAACAACACAAATGAGCCATCGAAACTGACAGCGGGTCCTATGGGCACAGATAGCCCTTCCTGCAATACGGTCACCTCATTCTTCCTAGGATTGTATTTGATCAATCTTCCACTTGAATCTGTGACCAAATTTGGCTGCGTAATATTTCTGCACAAACAGTTTTTAAGTTCAGTTGTGATGAAATTGGTCCAAATACCCAGTTTTAACTGGAGTGAATATTAGTCAAGTGATCATGAGTCCCTGATTTGACTTTTAAACCCTCTGCTTTCCTCTTTACCTTTATATGGCTTGAACTCTTCCCTTGAACCAAAGAAATTACACTCATGGTAATATCAAGATTCACCACTATGAAGATATTTATCAAAGTTTCAGATGCATTAGGATTAGATAGGCTGAACTTTTCAATAGAGTTTATGAACTAAAGAATACCTTAGATCATAAGTGAGACTAGCATCAGTGATGTAAACATCTCTAGTAATTGGATTGACATCAATTCCAGTAAGGAAGTTGAGTTTTACACCACCAGCACTATTAGCTAGTAGTGTAGCAAGTCCACCGTCTGGTCCCACTTTGAAAAGTCCAAGAAATGCATCAACAATGTAAAGAACATTAATCAGATTGTCAAAACTAAACCCAAGTGGCCTTCCGCATGTTGGCCCCAAATTGGCGTCTGTTGTTCCATCACATAATTGCTTAGTCCTGTTGGAAAGAAACAAAGAAAATTTTAATTCTGAAAATTGAATTAGAAATTGTAATTGGGTACTTTTTGCTAGAAGTTTTTGAAGACCATGCAATCACATTTACCCTTTTGGGTAAGTTTTTGTTATGCACCAGCTTGAGTTCAAATCTTTTGCCCAATTTCTTTTACAAGACCACTAAATGATTAGTGAACCAAAATTAGACACCCAGCCAAGAAAAACTTGATTAGTTGATGTCTCAATTCTCATCCAAAGTAATGCGTAAGATTAACTTTTGACAAGTGAAACATTAGATCCTTATAAGGGGAAGAACACAGTACCTGTTTGGTGAAGTATAGGCAAAATCTACAAAACCAGTATTTGAATCTATATATTTGAGAACTCTACCATCACTGATGGCACAATAAGGACCTTCATTCCTTGAGTCCAGTGCAACTGACTCAGGACCAGTGGCTCCAGAAGGGAGATTAAGCTGAATAAACTTTGAATATGGATCCAAGGCAATTATAGAAGGAAGAAAGGAAACGATGACAAAAATGGAAAGCGTTGCCATTTTTTGGCTACTTAAAACAATTGTTACACCTAAAAATGGTCCTGCCAAGGTCGTTCTTTGCAATGGCTTTTATAGGCAAACAGAAGTCCTAAGAGCTACAGAGCCCATCAACTTGGATGTAAATTTCTTCCATGACATTAGCATCGGCATTGAGAAGTGTAAAAACAATAATAAAGAGTCTTGTTGGGAGTGTGAATTTTTGCTGTTTCTTATTGTGGGAAGAACTCAATAAGGGAATTTTTTGCTGGCATTTTTTTTTTTTTTGGCATAAAGTTAAGTAAAGTTGGTTTAAATGGTAGCCTACTCTAAAATACTTATCTTAGCAAGTTCCATACTAATGGTAACATTAAAGGAGCTTGAGTATTAGCTTTAGAATATTGTTTGTAACGTTTAATATTCATCTCATTATCTAGCCTTTTTTTTTTCTTTCTTTTTTTAATAGTTCACTTGAATGAAACTCTATTTTTCGTACACCACTTTCACTTAGCTTCGTCTCAAGAAATTCACATAAATATTTAAAATGTATATGATTTTGACTGGGGTATAGCTTCCTTTTAATTTTGTGGATCATTTAAAATTTGTTGGGTCATCCTCAAGTGAAGAGACTTGTTATTTCAATGTAGTGTGATGTCTATGCCGTAAAAAAAATAAAAATAAAAAGTCCATGCTGTAGGGTTTTTACATCATGGTCCATTATATCCCATTCGGAATGCAATTTTTCTTTAAAATTTTTATGTTCTCCGTAAACACATTTTCCAATCACCTTTTTATTTTTACATACATCAAATTGCTATGATATATTTTTCTATAAAATTATCAGAAAATAGCAATTCAAACGGGCTCTTGATTTTTAGCTTTATGCCGTTGTGCAGACTCTAAACAAGAATAGTAGAAATGATTTGAAGCTCAATTCCGTTGACTAGAAGCACAAATTGGCTTTTGGTTTTGGGACCTCGGAAGGAATGGACTGCTTCTACTGCATTTCTTTCTATATCAAAAGTGCATTCAAAAGAATCGGATGATTCATGGTCTCTTGAAAATCAAATTATTTTCTTTAAGAGAGTCAGAAACAAAGATGCATGTGATACGAAAGTAAAAAGAAAGGAATTGCTATATAAAGGAAGGAAGGGGTGTAACTTGAATTTCGCCTTTTTTTTAAAAAAAAGAAAAAGCCTGGTACCATTCCTTCTTTAAAAATTGTTTCTAAATGGAAAGTGCAAGCAATTTGAATATTTCTAAACCAATATGACAGACTGATAAATGGTGGATATATAGCTAAGCAACTCGAATTCAAAGGTGCAAAAATAATATATATCCCCAATCACTCGATAGTCGATACTGAAATCATAACGACCGCCGTGAAAGCGGGTGATGAGATGAGCAAATTAAGCTAATGATTTAAAAAAACCTTATTGGGACCATTATTTTCTTCCCATACACAACGTAGATAGGGTGGCGGTTCCCTTCTTTAGGTGGGAGCGGGATGGGCCGTGGCCGTGGCGGGCGCCACCGCGGATTCATTAGGCATGCCATCTGAGATAATATAACCAAAAATTTAAATAAAAAATAAACATTCTGATCTAGCAGAACAACCGTAATGATTCGGATTTTTGTCATTTTCTTTTTTTTTTTCTCCCTTATTTGTTTGCTTCGGATCTGTTTTCAAATTATATCGAACTCAATCTTACTCCTAGAGCCATGGGTCCCGAATCAGTTGCCTTGGACCAATTTAATCAAGGACCTCATATTGGTACTCGAGATGATAAGAGTTCTCAAGTATAAAGATCAAAACTTGGGGTTTGTTGACTTTGCTTATATTCACCAAATAGATAATTGTTTTCCTCCTTACTAGTAAATAATTGGAAGAAAAATCATCATTGAATGCATTGTTGGTGTAATATTGTCTAAGTAAGTCAAGAACGTTTCAAGATTGGAGAGAAAATATACCATGTGGATGGAGTTATCTACTTGGAATATTGCGTTTATATATTATTAAATTTAAGGGATAATTTCAGAAACCTCCCTCAAATTATGAACCCAATACCCATCGTATATCACACCTTCCTTAAACAGATCACCTGGCCAACCATTATTGATGTCTATGCCAAAAGCAACCCATACTCCAATAGCGTCACGAACAGAGAAACTAATTTTTATGACAAACCACCACCAATACTTATGAAGATATTAGATTCTAGTGTGTAATAGACATAATAGCATAACCCAGAGTCATTCCTTTTTCTTTTCCAACCATAGCCCATTAATTTCATTTTTTCCTCTCTATCACAACCATCTTCATCATCTCCATCTAATTTGACCATGAAATTTTCATTTGCTCCATCAATTTTTAATTTTGGAAATTTTGATTATTTAATATATGCAAATTATAATACGAGAAGAAATAAACAATGGGGCTAATAGTTAAGTACCACGGAAAGAGAAAAATAGACAAGAAATAAACACTTCGGATAGGCTTGCATGGTGGTGTAGTTGATGGGTGGAAGAGACTGTGGGATTATAGGTAGGAAGGAGAGAATCATAAGAGGTAGAAAAAAAAAAGAGGGAAAGTGAAAAGAAACTGCTGTTAATTAAAGTAGGGTTGGGGATGATGACGAGTTGTTGCAGGTTTTTATATTTTCTTTTACTCTTGGTTTGGTTTTTGTATAAATTTTTTATTAAGTAGAGGGTATTGTAGTCATTTTATTGAACCGAGAGAAGTTAGTGTAATTTTCTAAAATTGGGGGGAGCTAAGTGAAATTGTCAGAAACCTCAAGAGAGGTTTCTGAAATTATCCCTAAATTTAAGGTTCTGTTAGGATTGCTAGTTTTTCATGAAAAATTTTTAGAATATTCCATTGACATTACTGGTGAGTGGTGGCTCATCATCCTGGCACAGTAATTTGTTCCAGTATTCATTCAAGTTCCTGCTCTTTTGCATATCTAAAAGCAAAAAAGAAAATGATGTGCATGCTTGCATTGGCTCCAACATTTCTTGACACGATAAGTTTTTGCGTTCTTTAATTTACCTTTTTGTATGAGTTCCAAACTTTATTTGAACAGACCGAATAAATTAAAGTCGGATATAATTCTTGTTTCTATATATGTTTTCTCTTTGGGCCAAGCAGTTCTGCGATGGAGCAACAGATCCCAACTTGGGGCCAGTTTGTGGAAGAATGTTAGGATTTAGGTTCGACTTTCTAACTGGAAATCTCTACATTGTAGACACTTTTCTTGGTCTTTTCAAAGTAGTGCACCAAATGGTGGACTTGCCACACTGATCACTAACACTGCAGGAGGAGTGGGATTCAAATTCTCTGTGAAAAAATAGATCTCTGTGAATCAAGTGCCACGGAATAATCCTTACTTCTCCATCAAATCCTCTACATGCTATAATATTCTGTCTCCATCTCCCCTTTTGTTATGCTGGTGTCCCTTCCCAGGGCTATGATCAACATCTAGCACTTCGAAGAATGACTTGCAATAGATTACATGTTGAATGAAAAAAATGGCATATGGGCTGGCATAAAATATAGGGAATAATGAGCCAACATTTGATTGTAAAGTTTTTTATGCTGCCTTCAAAATCCTTCTGAAGCTTCACTCGATCTTATGAGTTTAATTTCATGCCAAATGCTCGGTAGAATAAAGAGTGGCTGTTGATGTACAACCTGTTCACTACAACCCAAAAATTCTCCTTTTAGGGTCCCATCCTAATTTTCTGTGGATTTCTTGTTTAAGTTTAGCAGCCTGAAGTGGGCGTTGTATGGTCCTTGATCTAATCTTCTTATAGGGATCCGACGGCAGATAAAAATGTATAGCAGACCTAACCAAAAACGGAAAGAATTGTTAGTGTCATTAATTCTGCGAGGGAAGATTGTGACTCAAAAAGGAAGGCAAGTAGCAGCCTAGAACTCCTCTTCTGGAAGTTCAACAGCAAAGGATAAGAAAGAACTTTAAGAATATCACCCACCCTACATAGAGGACCGCTCTGACAATAGATTGTTGCTTTGAGTATTTATTAAGATGAAACTCCGGCGCTCAATAATATTTCTTTTATTGGCCTTTAGGTCTTCTTTCTCATCCATCTATCCATGTATCCTCGATGCTAGTTATCACTTCTGTCTTCTGTATCCTTGAAAGGTATTAATTCATACCAATATAATATGCTAGTGATTAAGTTCCATTTGCCTCTGAAATTGGTTCCACTACAAGTTGTCTTTCCGGTGGTCCTTTTGTAATCAACCTAATGTGTTTAGACGTTTGACTAAGCATTAACGATATTGGGATAAGCAATTGTATGATAAGCATTGCAGGCTTGCGGCCTCTATACAGGAAAATTTCGCTGGCAATCAGTGAATGTTTCCATAGACTTCTTGACACATACAAACTGCACCTCACTGGAGAAGATTCACAGTCGCTGGATGAAGAACTAACCGAGAATAGTAAAGAAAATTGGAAACTCGACTCAATTTTCTTGTTAAATTAATTTGTTCTACTACAAAAGCTCCCTTGTCTATTACTGCATGTACATCCCACTTGATAGCAAAATGTATAAACAAAACATTCTATTATACAGAGTGGCTGCTGACTCAACGATCTGATTCAACTGCCACCCAAGAATTTTTTTTTTTTTTTTGAAATAATGGGATTGGACTCTGATTTATATACTTTTTTTTTTCATATGCTGGATGATCTTGGCCTCTAAACTTTTGGATATTCTAATTAATCATTGAAATGTAGGGTTGAAAGATAAACCAAACTACTTGATACTTAAATTGAATTCGGCTTAATAAGAGTTCTTTAGAGTTTTCGCTAACTATTCAAGTCAAAATTGAACAGTATTTTATATTCGATAATGCTTAAATACGAAAAAAAACTCGTTCAAAATCGATTCAATAAATAAAGAAATTAATCTTGAACAAAATTTCAAACTCATTAAACTAATCAAATAAGCTTGATCACTTGTGTATTCAGTTTAATTAAGCACGTTTATACCCCAATCGAAATGTCACAAGAAGTTGAAAACTTTC